GGGGGGGGGGGGGGGACGGGCTGCGGGCGCGTGTGGAGAGTGGGGCAGGCCACGGCAGGGGCAAGGGCAGACTATCTGTGCCAGGATGCAGACAGTGGCACGGTTGCTGTGGCTTGGCGTCAACTTGTAATCGCGCCGGACCTGGTTCCCGGCTTCGCCCTGGCGCCCGCTGTGACGAGCCCAGCGCTGCGTCACCGAGCGTCGCTCGTTCTGGCCCCAAGTGCCGACGGGGAGTCTCCCCCCAAGTATCACCGACTGCCCCACACCCGGCCCCTCCCACCCACTCACCCCCCGCCCTCAGTCCACCAACGTGGCCCTGGCTGATGAGAAGGAGCGCATGGACGTACTGCTGGCCCGGCAGTACAACCTCATCAGCGTGAGGGCACGCGGCACGCAGCACGCACCCGGCCCGGGCCGCAGCCGGGGCTGATGGGAGGGGGCCTCGTGCCGCATGGTGTCCCGCCACTGCCGTGTGGAGGGCGGGTGACAATGTGCAGGACGCATGGGAGCTCGCTCCCTGCCCTGATCTGTCAGGCCACCTGGTCACTTGGGCTAATCGGCGCTGCTCACCTCGCTCTGCTACCCACCGCTTTCCCTCGGCTGCAGTGTGTGCTGGAGAGTGGCGGCATGGCGGGGCTGCCGGGGGGCAAGGGCCGCACGCTGCAGGAGAAGACGCTGGGTGGGCGGCAGGCCGGGGCTTGGCGGGGTGGCGGGAAGATGGGCGGGCGTGGTGGGAGGCTGCTGTGTAGTCGTGAAGCCGGCTCGCGGACCTGCAGAGGGCGCTCCAGGGCTGCGGCAGGCAATCGCAGCAGGTCGACCCCCGCACTTGGGACCACCAGACCCCGCACACGGGCCCCGCACATTCGCGCCGCGCACCCGCCCCCGCCCCCCCGCAGCGCGCATCGAGGACATGCGTCGCTCCATCGGTGTCGCCACCAGCACCTCTGGTGCGGACGAGCTGCAGTTGGCGGAGCTGGTGGGGGAGGGCACCTTTGGCAAGGTCTACAAGGGCGTGTGGCGCGGCAGCACGGTGGCGATCAAGGTGGGGGGGGGGGGAAGGGCGGGCGGTGACGTGGGGTCTTTGGACCGGGCAGCAAGGGCAGCGGGAGAGATGTGCGCTGGCATGCATGGCCTTGTGACAGATCAAAACGCATTTGTACCAGATGTGACACAACGCCGCCAGCACGGTTCACGCCTCTGTTTTGATCCGTCCACGCCTGGCTTCTTGTGGTCTCCTGGAGATGTGCCTGCACTCTCGACACGCCACCGCGGACATCCCGGCTCACTTGCCCGCCGCCGCTCTTCTGTTCTCCATTTTGCGCCACCCCCCACCCATCCACCAACCCACCCACCCTGCGCCCCTGTGTTCCTGCCCCACCAGACCATGGTGCTGCCCGCCAAGATGAGCGGCGCTGAGAAGCGCGAGCGCATGGCCATCATGGAGGCGGCCATCAGCAGCGCCATGAACCACCCCAACATCGTGCAGGTGGGGGGGCGGGGGGCAGCATGCAACCCTGCGACAGCGAGGGTTGCGGCTCATGTGCGCAACAAAGACTGTGGCTCATTTGAAAGGACGAGACCGCGACGCGTAGCGCCGTCGCTTGCACACACACCATGCCGCTACTGCGGCCTGAGCCTCCCACCAGCACCACCAATACAACGCGGCCCGTGCGCCTCCCCCGCAGACCTACACCTACACCATCCGGCCCACCACGTCCAGCAACGTCCCCGCCGGCATGGAGTGAGCGCCGCGGCGCGCGG